ATGGGCTGAAAGCTGAACTCAAAAATTAGGCCTATTTTTTTAATTAAAAAATATTGGGTCTAATTGGCGGCCTGTGATGGTTAGGATTTCGTTCAGATTGGCCTGCAACAATGCATGCGTCGCTACGTGTGTTTGGCACACAGTATGTAGGTTACGGGACTTCGAAAGAACATAGTGATAATAAGGAAGAGAAATGGATGATCGCTTCGAGGGGATCAATCTCCTTGATCATTTTAAGGGGATCGACCTTCAAGGGTTTGTCAAAAGACTGAATAGTATTTTTCATAGATAACCGAAAAGAAGCAGCTATATCCCTATTTATAGAGTTTCAACTTTAACTAAATTAAACAAACTTAATAAATACACAGAAAATAAAAGGGTCATAACAATTTCACCTCTTTTAATTCAGCCTTGTCCTCAAGGTTGAGTAGCATCAAATTCTGAAAACTTCTCTTTTAGTGTGTTGTAGGACTCCCAAGTGGCATCTTCCTTTAGTAAGTTGGCCCATCGCACCAGCACTTCAGTTATATTACAACTCGTCGATCAAGTATGGCTTGTGGTTGAGCTTGAACTTCCCCAGAAGTGTCCGGCAAATGGAGCTGCACTATCGCATCTTCACCCAACTTCCTCTTAAGGCATGAAACATGAAAGACTGGATGTATTTTAGAGCTAGCAAGCAAATCCAAGTGGTAGGCAATTGGTCCAATGTGTTTTAATACCTTATAAGGCCTAAAAAACTGAGGAAATAGCTTCATAGAAGATCAGACCTTTATGAAAGTTTACTTGTAGGGTTGAAGACGAAGGAAAACCCAATCACCCATAGTAAATTCTTGTTCACTTCGGTGTTTATCAACTTATTGTTTCATTCTTGCTTATGCGACTATGAGGTTATCCTTTAAAAGCTGAATAATCTTGTTTCTATTAATCAATTCCTTATCTACTTGATCAACTTTAGAAGAACTAGGTATATATTTTGTAATTGTAGGTGAGGGTTGACCATAAACTGCTTCAAATGGAGTCATTTTAATAGAAGAATGATAAGAGGTATTATACCATCACTCCGCCCAGGGAAACCATTTAATCCATTCCTTCGGCTTGTCGCTAATAAAGCATCGGAGGTAATTTTCTAGGCACCTGTTTACCACTTCAGTTTGCCCATCTGTTTGTGGATGATAAGCAATGCTCATATTCAGTTGAGTACCCTATAAATGAAAAAGTTATGTCTAGAAGGAGCTAGTAAAAATCTTGTCTCTTTCACTAACAATGGAACAGGGACTTCCATGCAATATAGCTATGTTTTCCACAAAAATACTAGTAACACTTGCAGCGGTATAAGGACATCGTAAAGACAGAAATGAGCATACTTTGTAAGCCTATCTACGACTATAAGTATAGTATTTTTTCCTTGAGATGGTGGGAGTCCATCAATGAAATCTATAGATATGTCGATCCAAGTAACATCAGGAATAGGGAGGGGCTGTAGTAAGCTTGGGGTGGCTACTGTCTCACTTTTGTGACACTGGCAAACATCACATTCTACAACAAATTTCTTGATGAAAATTTTCATACCTTTCTAGTAAAAAAATGTCGAACTCGCTTACGTCGACTGATCCTTCGACATGACGTCCAATCTTTTGACATGTTTTTCTCTAGCCCAACATGATTCTTCCTACTTTAATTGTCTCTCCCTGATCGAAGCATCCTGTGACACTCAAAGCGCAGATCAAATTATAAACACTTATCAATTGGTTTTATCATCAAAATCTGATATTCAACATAAAGATGATGCTTCTATTGTTGAGCATTTGAATTAAATGCAAAGTATCACTAACTAGTTATCCTTTATGAAAATGTCTCTTGATGATGAGTTGCAGGCATTGTTACTTTTCTGTTCTTTGCCAAAAAGTTGGGAGACCCTAGTGGTTTCCCTCCGTAATACTACGCCAGATGGTGTTGTCACCATGAGTCAAGTAATAAGTAGTTTGTTGAATGAGGAATTAAAAAGAAAGAATTCAGCAAAATTATAGAATGATTCATATGCACTTATCTCAGAGAATAGAGGAAGGTCAAAGTTTAAGGATAGAAACAATTCACGCATGGGTAGAAGCAAGTCAAGATCAAGAAAAGATATTATTTATTATAATTGTAGTGAGAAATGACATTACAAGAACCAATACAAGCAACCTAAGAAGAGCAAGAAAAAAGAAAAAGAAGTAAAGTCTATAGAGTCAAAAGATAATACTACAACTATAGTGCAGGGTAGTGATTATTTGATTTTATCTCCTTTTGATGATATTTTTTCTTGTGTGTATTAGGATCTTGAGTGGGTGATTGACATATGTACTTTTTATCATGCTACACCACAGAGGAAGTTTTTTACCACCTATAGGCCTGGAAATTTTGGTGTTGTCAAGATGGGCAACTATGGCATGGCAGATATCATTAGCATAGATGATATCCACATAAAGACCAACCTTAGCTGTAAGTTAATGCTTAAGGATGTGAGGCATATGGTTGACTTGATGTTGAATTTAATTTCAGTTGGAAGACTAGATTATGGAGACTATGATAGTAAATTTCACAAAGGGCAGTGGAAGCTCAATAAGGATTCTCTCATTATGGCTAGTGGAAAGAAATGTTACTCTTTATATAGGTTGTAGGCCAAAGCTTATGGTGAGCAACTGAATGCTATAGAGAAAGACTTCAACATGGAGTTGTGGTAAAGGCGATTGGGACACATGAGTGAAAAGGGGCTATGTTTGAACCCTTGTATCGATTGTTTGGCTGGTAAATAACACAGAGTTTCTTTTGCTAGTCCTGCTTTGTCTAGAAAAATACATGTCTTATATCGTGTTTATGCAAATGTATGTGCTCCTTTAAGGATAAAAACTCCTAGTGGATCTGTTAATGTTCCTGGTCCAATGGTGCACTTTATTTTGTCACTTTTATAGATGATTTTTTTAGGAAAGTTTGGGTCTATGCTATAAAGACCAAATATCAGGTTATTAATGTTTTCAAAGAGTTTCATGCTAGAGTTGAAAGTGAGACAAAAAGGTAATTGAAATGCATAAGATCAAATAATGATGGTGAGTATACATAGTTGTTTAATGATTATTGTAGGTCACATAACATCCAACATAATATGACAGTTTCTGGTACAACTCAACATAATGTAATTACAGAGAGGATGAATCGCACCATCATGGAAATGATAAGATATATACTTTCACAAGCCAAGCTACCTAAAAAAGTTTTGGGATGAGGCTTTGAGGACTGCAATTGATGTGATCAACTTGTCACCATGTACAACCCTAGATGGTGATGTTGTAGAACATATATGGTCAAAGAAAAATATTTCCTACAAGCATTTAAGAGTGTTTGGTTGCCATCTATTTGCACATGTTCCAAACAATAAGAGGTCCAACCTAGATGATAAAATAAAAGAATATATTTTTCTTGGCTACTAATATGATCTGTTTGGTTATAGGCTTTGAGATCCAAAAAAGCAGAAGGTGTTTAGAAGTAGAGATATGATCTTCTTTGATGATTAAACCCTTGAGGATTTGAAGAAAAAGGCACAACTAAGACTTCTACAGAAGGATTAATAGATTATGACCCAGCTATTCCTCCAATACATTAGGGTGATGGGGGAGATGTGCAGGAAGACGATGTATAACCTGATGTTGATATACCTATAGGACATATTGAGCAAGAAGAAGTTGGGGAGCAACTTCCCACATAACCTCAATTAAGAAGATCTTCTAAACAACGTCAACCTTCTATAAGATACTTGAGTATATGATGCTTACTGATGTAGATGAACTAGAGAGTTACTAGGAAGTAGTTGAAAGTGAGCAGAAAAAAAATGGTTAATTGCTATGTAGGAAAAGATGGATGCTCTACAAAAGAACCACATATATGATTTGGTGCAACTACTGAGTTTCTACAACGATTAGTGCTTTTTTTTGTTGGATAATAGACATGAACTAGTCTTCATTGTTCATTATAAATTTCCATACAAAATAATGTGATATGACTAATCACCAATGCATATTTTTGCAAGGCCATCTACATCAATTTTTACCTAGCTTTCCTTTCTGCTTTAATATCTCCATGGCTGTAGTCTACTAGCTTCTTCGCTCTATTATTTTGAGCAGCTGCTGTGGTCTCTCTTACTTTCTTTCCACAAAAGATTCAGAATAAAAAAGAAAAAGATACAGAAAAGAGCATGTTGATACCGAGGATATCATTTGCCAATCACAAGTGAAGAACATGACTCTGTACGAGTTAAGTTGTTGATCTGATACGATCCAATTTGATGACTAGTTATTTGCACACAAATGATAATTCCAAGATATACAATAGTTTAAGAGAAGTTGGGTATTAAATGTGCATAACAGCTCCGAGGATGCACGCGTCAGGCAAAGAGCTTCTTGACACATTCCTTGGGCCTTCTATTTCGAGTAAGTTCCCATTATTTTCATTTCAGGTTTATATTGGCATCAGTGATTTGTTCCTTCTACTTTTAGCTTGTTGCATATCGCCTGACATCTCTTGACACTCATGGAATGGTGTTTGCTCTCGTGATGACTGCATGCTTGGGGAGACCTCCCCTCCGTTTTGTTAAAATGGCACACTTTTGTTTCTCATGACCCTATTAGCCTTTAGGCTTTTCTTCTTCTCTTGTTTTCTTTCCTAAGAACTTCTTTGATTCTATTGTACTTACCATGCATGCCTGTACTTTTTGAGAGGAATAAGTGATTTTTAGCTCACTGGCTTTGTCTGACATTTGATGAACTGAACATATCATCAGAAAAGCTACTTAGTATATGCAATGAATGAAGTTTCTGTCTCCTTTTGCTCTGTATCTGCTTCCTGAACAGATTAAAGTGGTTCAAGATGGAGAGAACAAGAAGAGGAACTAAAGTAGAGAGAGTGTCATTCTCAAGACATCCTTCAGTTCCCTACTTCATGGTATTCGCCCGACTTAGCACATCGAATTAAAGTAATTCTTAAACTTGTCAACTAAATCTGGTTTTAAATTCCTTAATGCAAGTCTTTTGGCCCTCATTGGCCTCACGGATGATTGAAACTTGAACAGCACAAATGATCATATGGAACTCTTGCAGAAACATGTACCGGTTATGTGATTAAATTGTGGCTATCTGACTCTGAATATTATTCTGCTGTTCTAAATCTACTTCAGGATGAGAAAATGGAGAAACTCGAGGAGCAAGGACAGATCGAGTTGTTCAAGGAGAAGTCACAGCTGTCGACATATTATTGTCCATCGGAGGTCCTCAAAAGTCCTAACGAGGCCATGGAGTTCCTCTCTAGAACTTGGAGCCCATCTTCCTCGGATTTCTCTCAAATACTTTGGTCAAACGTAAGTAGTAAAAGGAGCTAATTCTAATCCATGTTCGTTATATACTATCTTCGGCAGAAGTCATACTACACGCCCTGTCTATTATACTTTTGTCTCTGGAGACGTGAAGATATGGAATTTAGTACGTGAGACCCAAGAAAGCTTAAAGAGGAGGACCATACGGCTTGGTTTGGTGATGCATGTGAAGGAGGACATATGGCATATACTTATTAGCTCTGTCCTTGTCGAGAAGCTCCGTAGCCGATCATCATTCTGCTGAGCGTTCACCGAAGCTGATATGTCATACTGATCAGCCACTTGAACATCTGAACTCTGAATCGTCAAAATGAGTTTTGATGGATGCATCGATAGGTAGTGATCCATGCATATCTCTCGAGCAGCCAATAATTAGTGTCCGAGATGACATTCCACCATGATTAAGCCCTTCACAGCTACCCATGGTGCATCAAATGCTAAACCAATTCCTGGCACATTCAAGTCATCAATGGCTGTCATGAATGTCAATTCACATGGGTGGTTTGAATCTTGGATGCAGGGCGGGGAGCTTGACCAAGGGCTCCAGGAGCAGCAAACAGAGGAAAGCCTTGTCCAATTCGAGGAGGATGATAAAACCAGATTGGAGCAAGCACTGGTAAGAACCTCTCTCACACTTGTGTAAATTAGATGGTCATCTAGTTCGGGTAAGTTAGCTGACTGTCTTCTGTTGCTCATGGTCACTTTAGACACTGCTTTCAACTGGAAATCTTGTGCGATCAGGAAAGCTCAAGCAACTACACTTTGGTTGGGTAAGTCCTGAGGAAAGAACACGTTCAAATACTTTTGTCTCATTACTGCATGTTTACGAGGGAAGATGAAGCCAAGGCCACATCGGTCTCATTACAGTGTGATTTCATCGAAATTGCACAGATGAACGTTGGACGAATGAAGGCATGGTTGGGTGTGGAACTCTTTAGCAGCTTGTCCAGAGGATGCAGAGAGAAGAGAAACGAGAAAGTGCGAGTCCGGGAGGCTCGAGTCCATGCAGCACTCTCCGTCGCGAGGCTGGCTGCGGCCATCGCAGGCATCTCCGCCAATTCTAGGTTGGAACCAACGAATGCAAAGAGCACGAGCATGACAGGCATGGGAGGAGGGGCTTTGGATGAGAAGATGAACGCTGTGGTTGCCTCTGCCGCAGCTTTGGTCGCAACTGTGTGCGCCGAAGCAGCCGAGTCCGTGGGGGCCAACAGAGAGGGTGTTGCATCTGCCATCAGTACAGGCCTAGCGACCAAAACTTCAGCTGATATGGTCACGCTGACTGCAACATGTAATGCACCATTTACGACCTCTTCTACAGATGACTCAAGGAGTCTTGTCTAGATATCAACTCAGACGTAGCATTCCATGAATTCACATCATAAAAAAAGGTTAATTACTGTAGGTTTAAGAGGAGCTGCCACACTCGAACTGAGACCAGCAGCTGGTAGGCATGCATCAGAAGACCAGAAGACCCTTGCAAGAGGTGCTCGACTTCCTGTCCGCATGCCTAAAGGTAAGAACTCATGGTCAAAATCCTCATCATCAGACATGATACCGTACCTGCAAGCATTCATTTGCTCCGATGATCTTTCCAGAACTATTTATTACATTCCATGACTAGGCTTGCATCGTGAGTGGATGTTTTGCAGGGAAAGTTCGACAAAGATTGGTGTACATTTTCCTCAAGCGTGATAAGCTTACAGTAAGATTAAGGAAGAAACACATTCGTGGAGTAATCAGCACATACACAGAGTGTAAGATACTGGCAACCTCATCCGGCGTCCTGTAAAAATGCTGCTGTGGATATCAACATTTTTGTGCCAAACTGATTCAAACAAGTTGACTTTCAAGAATGCTTTAGTCATTCTCTCTGTATAAAGATTAAGCTACTGCACGCATCGATATTTTATGCTCATTCTAATATACTTCTTTTTCAGATACGATATTTAATGCAATGGAGGATTTGAAGGAAGGTGGCATTTCTAAGGATGATCATGGCTTCTACTCGATAACTCTTGGCACCACTGGGGGAGCCATCCAGATCATGTTCGAGCAACAAGTGCAATACAGAATCTGGAGGTCCACCATCTGTCATCTCTTGTGTGATTGCTGAAAGCTAATAGATCCGAGTCGTCGCCGGTGCTAAACCATGGATGCTTTCCTGTGTATACACCAAACATAAAACTGTAATTGAAGATTCTGTGCTTCGTTTCCTACCAAAAACGCATACACTTTTCTTTTTCTTTTGCCAATGAATTATTTCCACGCAGAATGCAGGCAGGCAAAAAGCCAATCCGCAGAGTTTGGATAAAACTGTGTGGATCATATTCAAGCTTTGGTCCGAGAAGCAATCTCATGCGTTGTTTCCTGTCCATCATTGTTGTCTTGCAGATTCTATATCACTCCTTGATGGAAAATATATTACATTTACTGAGGTTTTTTCTAATCTTTTGCTGTGTATGTACTTTTCAGTGCATGCGTTTTTGCATGTACATCGAGCTGGTCGACGACATGGTTGTGTTGTGATTCAGTTATCATGATCTTCGATGTACTTGTTATAGACATGACTTGAGCTTTGGCAATTGCATGAAATCTCTGGGATTAGCAACTACAAATCCCTCGACGTCATAGCATTGTTTCCCTGCCGTAGTTTCAACCTTTACGTGCATTCTTTATATGATATTCACACGCAAACAAATTTATGTGCAAATAAGATAAAGGTGAATCCTCAAAAAAGAAAAAAAATATTTCTGAGAAATTCTCATATAGTATTTTTAACTTTAAAAAATTATTGTAGAATGTTTGTGATCATGTAAAAATATTATCTAACTCTTATCTTCATTTTTTACCTATATCATTGCCCTTGCCTCCTTGCACCATCCCTTGCAAAGGCCTCTCGTCTTTTCTTTTCTACGGTCAATAGCATGAGGAATTCACAGACCACAATGATGAAAACTAGGGCAAGGGTGAGGCCTATGGGCAATGAAGATGATTGTTGGGATTCGACAAAGGTGAGGCCTTTATCATTGATTGCCTCTACACATGACCGTAAGCAATAATCGACTATTCAGGATGAAGGGGCGATCAACAACTAGGCGGAGGACGATAGTCGACAGGGATAAAATAAATAATTTAAAAAATATTTTATGATATTTTTTTAACGTTAGAGTATTATTTAAATTTTTTTAATGAATTTGTCCTATAAGAAAAGGATAAAGGTAAAGAAAAAGAAAAACTAGTCTTTTAACCTCATATTTGTCTTATTTGACGCCGAAACGCCTAACCCAACAACCACCAAATAACCAAATCCGCGCCGACTCCACCTGCGGCTTAGTCCATCCATGGCGACCACGAGCGTCCCGTGGGCTCGCCCCTCCGCCTTTGGGTTGGTCGCCCCGTCACCCCTCCTCGTCTCCTGCCGCCCCGGTGCGCCCGTCCGGGCCTTCCGCCGGAGCGACCTGGACGGGTTCGCGAGGCGCGTCGCCTCCGGCGAGGCCCTACGGGACGCATGGCGGAGCGCCAACAACGGGATCGAGCAGGTCGCCTTCGAGGCCCGCCGCGCCGCCGAGCGCCTCGACCGCCGCTACGATCTCTTCCGGCGGTTTGACTCTGCCGCCCGCGCCGCCGCCAACTGGGCCCGCAAGATTGACCAGGAGCTGGGGATCGGGCGGCAGTGGAGGTCGTTCTCCGTGGATTTCTCCAGGAATTGGCCTCGGGTTCGGTTTCGCTTCCTTTTCGATCCGATCCTTTTGTTCACTCTTTCAAGACTCTGATGCTTCTTTTGGATTCTTTTCCGCAGTACAGGAGAGAGCTTAATGGCTTTCTGCAAACACCCCTAGGCAGAGGCGTGGCCGTGAGTTCTCTTTCTCTTACTTTTACTAACCGTAAGCATTATCTTCGTTTTCTTGATTACTACCAATGTCGAATCTTGTCTCAACTTTCTTGATTGCTACTAATCTTTGAATATTATCTTCATTTTCTTGATCACACTGCTACTGTTGAATCTTGTCTCAGTTTTCTTGATAGCTAATCTTGAATCTTGTCTCCGTTTTCTTGATTGCTAATCTTGACTCTTGTCTCCATTTTCTTGATTGCCAATCTTTAATCTTGATTCTAGATTGGCGCATGTAATGATAATTAAATTGGTCTGTTTTCGTCAAATGCATTGCCTGTCGTCAAGGTGGATGTACATGCTGAATTTTAAACACTTGGAAGTCCAGCTATAAATGGCGATACAGATAAAAGAACTGAGGACATCCAAGAGGAAATTCTATTACTTGAGTACATTTACATTTCCTTCACTTCCTTTGTTAGGTCATGGTTTTGTTTGGTTGATTAGGTTGCTGGTGTCACATATAACGGGACTAGTTGGACTAAAAAAAAAAAAATCATAGTTGATCTGTTAAATATATTTGTACATTAGGTTGACCATTTACTTTGCCAAATTTAATATGACTATTAGCTCTTGATTAGCCTTGTAACTAGTCCACCTTGTGTCCTTTTAGTAGAGCATTTAATTTGCATAAATAACAAAAAGTTCCTTTTCTCTAGTTTCACTTGAGCTCATATTTGAACCCTAATTAGGTTTACAGCCATGCCAAAATTTCTTAATGAAGCTCAAATATTTTAGGAGGAACTAACCAAGATGTTCCTTCTTGTTAATAAGAAGCACGCATTAATATATACTGACATCTAGCAACGTCGAGATCATCAAATGCTTGACAAACTCCATTTTTTCAACCAAACTCTCCATTTGTACATGTTTAGCTTCTTTGATCCTTGCAACTCATGTTCAATTAGCACACTGCATAGCCCGTGGTTAAACTTAACAAAAAGGGCCAGTGTTTCTCACTACAAGAAAGACAAAAAGCCAAAAAGGGCTACTTCTTTGACCCTTGATTCTTCATTCTTAGTTGGATGGTTGAGCCAAAAAGCCAAAAAGCTGGTTATGTCTACATATTGTAATTGGAGGACTTCTCAATCAATTAGAACAGTCTGCACCATATAGGTTTCTAACATCTTACTCCACTTTGGTGGACCAATGAAGGTGTCGATACAGGCTTTTTTTAGTTCATTGCTGCTACCACACAAAGTGGTATGTATTATGCATTTTGTGCTGGAGTCAAACATTTATGGAAACTACAATCATGCAATGACTATCCACTTTCATCATGCTAACAGCAATTATAGAACATTATATTTTTGCAGTGCTTTTTCAATAAGCTAAGTAATCCATTTATTCAATTCAAATGAGAAGATAAATATTTTTTAATACAAAAGGCATGCTCTATTTAGTTGCAAGTATCATTTCCTGGGTTGAGGTGGACATATTTTAAGATAAAACCTGGATCATTTTTATAATTTTAAATGGCATAAACATGAAGAAGATGATATTAAATATTATCATAAGATCATAACACTTACCCTCCTAGATCCTATATAGACGAGAGTCACATACATTTGGGTGCCCTTTATCTTGGATCATGATGCTTAACTATGTCTAATCTCAATTCAATATGTTATTTACTTGTTAAGATGTACATGATTTGGATTCTTCATATCCATGCTTGTTTCCTTGGGGTATATGCTATTTGTTTTATATCCTTAATACCCTCTTTTTTGTAGACTATCTTCTTCCTCTGGTTTGCATTATCTGGGTGGCTGTTCAGATTTTTCATTTTAGCTACATGGGTGTTACCATTTGTTGCTCCTCTTCTTATTGGAACACTTGCCAACAACTTTGCTATTCAGGTAACTTATATTTCATTAGATATTTAATTTTTCTCTGTCTTTCAATTTCTTACTCTGTAGGTTCTTTTAAGCAACCCGACCTATATTGGGTGCATTTCTACATATTCTCTGTTTTTTATTGCTATGCACAATTTGCTTAATTGCATAACAGAGAAAATTACATTACCTTCTTGATTAGATAGAAAGGATATATGATAGTATCTTTCTTCAAATTACTTATTTTCTTTGGTTTTCCTTATTGTGATGCAAGTCCTAACTTTAGTTAGTGGTTTGGTACTGCTCTGGGATTGAAGGTGCATGTGTGTGTTGACTGTTGACCTGATATCCCATTATATTGTCATCACAAGTTATCATTACAACAGTGTTCGCTTTGATCCGGAAACTTCATGCTGAAGATATGGTCTGTGTTCTTGTAGTTTTTTTTTTGTGCAATGGTAAATGGCTTCCTTAGGTTGTCCATTTCTTTGTGTGATTTGTTGTTCCTTTCTGCCCATTAGTTTACCATCGTGAATTATACAATACTGTCATAAGATTTTGTGCTGTATATATATATATATATATATATATATATATATATATATACATATATATATATATATACATATACATATATATATATATATATATATATATATATATGTGAATTTCATGCAAAATTTCAAGCTTCAATTGACATCCTTGCCATACCTGGGCCTTGTGACTTGTATATCATTTTTGTCAATATCTACATAATATCTTTTTGATTAAGAAAATAACAATTTGTGAGATTCCTTCTTTTTGGGTTTTTTTTTTGCTGATATTCTCCTTTTGTGGTTAATTCATCGGATATCAGATCCATTTTTTGAATAACCATTGGTGAGTATGTAGTGTCTATGTTGATATGTATCTTTGGTTTCCTTTATGTGGGTCCTAGCTAAGTTTTGCTCTAAGTTCTACATTCTTTTTGTTCAATCATGATCTATATAAGCCACTGCCTTTCTATGGCTTCTTTATGGATATACAAGGCACTGCCTTTCAGTGCTTCGCTATAGCATATGCATTTTGCTATTTTCCTTGATGCCTATTACTTGCACTGTGCACCTGGTATTATCATCAACTTTCTAAATTATGTGAACTATTTGAAACTACTCACTTGATCACACAATCAAACTGAAATTACATTCCATATTATTTTTCTTAATATACAATCTGGTAAACAATTCCTGTCCATGTTGGTCATTATGAAGTGACCCAGAGCAAGAAAGATTGCACATGTTGTTGCGATTTATACTTTATATTATGATATGTGACTGACCAAGTGGAGGCACAAGTCAGTGACTACACTAAAGTGGTGACATGCCAGTTTAGTTCCAGACTGAAAGTGAAGGAAATTTGAATTGATTTATCAGGCTTGATGATCATTAATTTAGGTTTAAGCATTTTGGATCACCTCTAGGCCTATTAAGTTAATGGATTAGTTTTACCATCAGATGATGTCGTAACAGTTGGTGTCTGTAAAGACTAAGTATTAGGTGTAGTAAACCACCAAATTGTGCCTCACATGCCCTTGTAGGGGAGTTCTAGGCTGTGTTGGTTTCGGTGCCGACAAGAATGTAGTCTAATTTTGTCCTATGGTAATTATCTTTTAAATAAGCATTGTGATGATAGCAGTTTTCCTAAGGTCTACTCCGTTCTGAGGTTTCTTGTGGGTTGAGACTTTTAATTCTTTGACTTGGTCACTCTAGCTACTATTTTTTGTCTCCATATAATCAAGTGATTGGCAAAGGTGTTTCTTTACCAGAAGAAACATTTCCAATCCTTATATCAATTTGATTCCATAGGCAATTCCTTTTAACTACTACTCTGTGGGTCACTGGAAGATTTGAGTTTCGAGAACACCCCAAAATCAATTTCTGTCACATAAGCATGCTGGCTGAGTTTGCCCTTGCTCATTTGTCACAATGGTTGGCTTTCATTTTGAACATATTTGCATAAATCTAGTTAGGTTGTCAAGATCTGTATCCTACACAGAATCAAGAAGCTTTTAGAATTGAATTGAGAAGTCGAAAAGTGGTCCTGAATCATATAAATGAGAAATTTTTAAAGGATCAAATGAAATACATGTTTCTTTTGAGCAAATGGTAACATAAGTTAGTATATTATGACTTCATTTAATAGGAAACAGAATTTTAAATAGAAAAAGGAAGGAAGAAAAAGGTAAACCTGAGATGGACAGTATCATAAATTCCTTTAGATTCATCATATATACCATTTTTACCAATGTGTACTATGTGTAACAATAAAAAGTTGTTATGGTGGTATAGTGAATTCTAGTGGTTCTTGTTGTGATGGTTGGGTTGTATTCACTTGTGATGGGGCTTTGTTTTATGTTTAAGTTTCAGAATATTGTTCTGTTGGGATTGGCTTTTTTCGATTAGATGTTGCGATGAAAGGAACTGTATTAGAAATGGATTGGAGCTTGAATGAATTGAAGTTGAAACTTGGATTGGGATTCTAGCTTTCTTATTAACTGAGTTTATAAATTTGAGATGGGTGAAATTAGAGTGAATTAAAGTAGTACGTTAACACAGTGGCGAACCATGTTGTCAAATTAAACTTGGCTTTAGTTACCCCAGTGAGAAGTAATATCTTGTCAAATTAAATTAGGGCCCAGATGTTGTTTAATCATAACTAGGATTTTTAACAAATTTAATGTTTGATTTAATCAACCCATTCTGCTTCAGAAAGGATTGCAAACACATTGGCTTATGAATGCTTAAGGTAGTTTTTGTCGACAGACAAAAACAATGTTTTATTCACGACTCTTATGCTTCGATGTTGTATGTTCTTATTTGCTTCTCAGTGTTTTCAGCATAATTTATTATTATTATTATTATTATTATTATTATTATTATTATTTATAGAAATGACACAAGCTTTCACAATTCAAAACAAGTTACTTGGGTGTTGTGTTACACAGGGCACATGTCCAGCTTGTAAGAGGCAATTCGTGGGCAGCCGCAACCAGGTGATCCGTTGCACAGGCTGTAAGAACATTGTATGGCGGCCAAGAGATGGCTTCTCGAGGGGTAGAAACGATTCGTCCTCTAAAGCTTCAGAACCCGACATCATCGATATTGAAATTGAGGAGAAATGATAGGCAAAGTTCGGGAGGGCTAACTTACGGGGCATACGATCCGTCTATGGTAGATTTCCCGTTGTAGCTTTTTTTTTTTTTCTTCCAATGAGATTGTAAATATGATAAGTTTTGGGATGGTTTATTTTTCAGCATCGAGAGCGGGTGCACGCACATCTTGTCATTTTATTTTGATAAGTTTTAGTAACTAGCTACAGGAAAGAAAAAAAAATTTGATACACATCTATTTTTCTAATATCTCAATAACTAATTTATGTATTCACGTTGAGTATCTATCTGGGAGGTCTTATCTATTATTTATAAATAGGCAAGAGTTGATGTAGAATAAGTAATTAAAAAAATTTCCATTATCAAAATTATTTTTTAATTTTTTTAATCAAAATTAGATTCAATTGATAATTATAATTAGATAATATATCTTATCTAATTATATAAAATACACATCACATAAATTTGAATCATGTTGTTGTTGCTTAAAAACAGGCACTTCTGTGATCAATCCGTTACGATTATATTTGGTGGAATATGTTGTCTCAGAATGCACTCTAGTACCTATTAGTAGAGATTGAGGTTGTGCCAAGTTGTTAGCTTAATAATGGCATTGTTTTCCATCATCAATACATATACATATATACCTACATATACATATACATCTAATTTTCTCATCCAACATATTTTTTAAAGTAATTTAATTGATGAATATATAATTTCTACTTGCCGAAAGGGAGAAACGAGTCCGGCAGGGTGCATAAATAGAAGAGAGATTCCAACAGATAAAAGAGGACCAACATCCTCAACCGCTTCGAGCTTGAGCCACTAGCGGAGGTGCTCGGTGTCGATAGGAAATTGATGAAAAAAATTCAAAATCTGGTCGACAGGCGGGGACAGATAGTCCATGTCGCGACTGAGCTTCAAGTGCTACAACCATCGTGGATGAGAGAGCAAGAGGTGCATCAACAAGGGAGGGAGATGGAAGTTAAGCAAACATCCTGTATATATATATATATATATATATATATATATATATATATATATACTCCTATTTCCACAAAACAACGAGCCAGATGTTGCGAAGCTCTCTGGACAAGATATGCTTAGGGTTAGGGTTATAATAAGACACATCACCTTTTTGATGCCAAAATCTACGCCAACAGAGAAAATGAAAAACAAATGGACTCAAGAAACAAACAACATTACACGAAAGAAAAGCTCGCTGGTCAATAGGGCTAGGTTAGGCTAAGGTACATTACTTTTTGATGCCAGAATCTTCGCCAGAAGGAAAATAACGAACAAATCATCAACTCAAGAAACAAACAACTTTACGCGAAAGAAAAGATCTATGGCCAAGACACGCTTAGTGTTGGGGTTAGGATAACGTACATTACCTTTTGATGCCAAAAGCTTCGCCCAAAAAAAAAAAAAGAAAAAAAAAGACGAGGAACAGATCAACCCAAGAAACAAACAACATTACACGAAACAAAAGCTCTCTGGCCAAGAGAGGGTTAGGGTTAGGGTTAGGATAGGGTCCATTACCTTTCGATGCCAAAGTCCTCGACCGGGGCGACTTCGACTGAAACCAAGAAAGATCAATTCCGAGAAAGAAACCACATCAACCTAAGGAAGGAAAGATCAATTCCGAGGCGCCTGGAACTCGCGTCAACGTCGGCCGTCGTGACCAACACCACCATCTTCCTGCAGCAAAATCCAACAAAACCAAGACGAAACAAAGCAGGCGAAGCCTCCATGATTCGTTCTCGAACTCCCGAATCGCCGCGTGGGGAGGGAGAGCGGCATTTGCGGGGAAGCAGTTATAACTACTATGGCGCCGGGTTTTATAGATGGGCCGGGCCGGATGGGATGGGATGGGCTGGGCCGCAACAGACATGGGACTTCTAATCCAACGTGCTACCTGTAGCCTACATAACTCGGTACGCTGCATATAAAAATTACGCTCATAATTAAGTGATTTTGTTCAGAGAACATACCGTGACGCTTAATAACTCTCATACGCAAAATACTCTGCACATTATCCGCATCCTCAACTATGTGATTGTGTTCGGTGAATATGCCAAGAGGAGATATCTCAGAAACAGAAACGAAACCCACACGCTGCTGCGTCCAACTAATGGATCCAGAAAAGGAAACCATGCATCATCGCGTGCGGTGGCCAACACGAGGAAATCTTTTCCCCGGATTTACCTTATTCAATGAGCACCAACTATTTGGGTAAAGTACTCTTCACTCCTCATTAACCGCAGACGAATCTGGTTGATCTCTCTTCCCGCTTCCACTTGCACTTCTTTCCCCTGTGACATTGGACAAGGCAGGAGACATCAGGAAGTGGCTCAAGGAAGGAAAACCGCAGGAATGTTTCACCAAGACACGTTTGATGTGCCAAGTAAGATCTGTCTGCTTGTTTTTATTTATTTTGTTCTAAAGATCAATCGAAAGAAAGAAAGCAATCATCACAACAAAGAATTGTGTTGCCATCTTCACACAATCATGAGTAATGGTTGGACGTAAAAATTAGCAAATCCATCTTTTTGGTTTTGTCATATACACAGCAGCAATCTGCAGAACCATGGAAAAGAAAGAAACTGACTGTAATATGCTTAAACTCGGGAACAAATATAATACATGAAGCCATGTATATGAAGAAACCATGTTTTATAATATGTAGAGACCTGTGTCATCCATATTGTTTCTTGTTTGATCATTAGGAAACAACAGATAGTGTACATTGAAGTCTTCAGGTAATATATTGAGAAGAACTTATCTGGTGATGGCAGCATTGCATGTGATTCATATATACATTCTGGTTCACCAGCATATGGTCTTGGATGGTGCAATGTGAAGAAATAAGATGGCCATGCAGTTTCCTACATGAATTTTCTTGAATAAATCGGTGGTCAATTTAGTGAAAACCAAACCGACATGATTCCCTATAAACAGCTTAAACCAGGAAAGGACCAAGGTTCAGAAACTCTGGTAAAGAAAGATGATGTCAAATAAAGCATTTTAAAGCTAATTATCCCGATAAATACTGATGGCCGTCAAAAACTAACTGAAACTTTGCAATCAATAGTAATGACACAGAGGCAAGAACTCAGAACTCTAAAATTTAATGCAATATGCTATAAAAGGGAGTTCAACTGTAGACAGTGACATATCCTATACAGAAAAAGAAATCACCTTTTTGTGAGATTTAAAAAATTTAGTGACAAAGGAAATAGTCCTGTTCATATCAAATTGGATTCGAGTGAAATCTTCATGAGTCTTAAGTAAGTGCGGTATTATTTGAACATCAGGAAACTGCAGTTGAGAGAAACTAAGCAAATTTCAAATGGCATAATTTTACATGGAAAGGAACAAATAACCAAAAAAGAAAGCTATGACTATTAATTGCCTTTCTGTTTAATTTTGATATCTGAATTAAACTAAACATCCTTCAGCATTAAGAATTTTAGGATCCAGCAACTGTTTGGATGCAACTTTATAAATGATAAGATGGCTAGTGTGTTTACAATTTGAAATCAAATGGCTGAATCTACATAGTGCATCTGCATCCTTATGGGTCCACTGGACAGAAACTTGAATTCTGTTTTGGTGTGTCACCATCGCAGATGTGTCAATCCTTTCTAAATCTGATGTGATTGTAAAAAAAATTCATGGTATTCAAGAAGTGGTTAAATTTATATGCCATAACGCTCACAAATAAGCTACCAAATTTTTTATAACTATTATATCTATAACTACCCAAAAAAATCTCATGTAGTTTCTCTTTGAGTTCTCAAAAGAATGAGATCAGTGTGTAACACCAACCAGGCAAGTTTTACAAAGTATGAAACATTCTACCTTCAAAGTGAAACAGAAAATCTAATTTAGTTGCTTGCTTGTCTAACCTGCAGTTACTGCAGAACTTTTGTTTCTTTACCCACTGAAAATAGTATTTCGTTCTCCTGCAGATTTCCAGTCACCTCAATTTTGGGAAGGATGGAAAGATATTAGCACACTTTGTTTCTGGAAGAATCTTTTTGTATTTGTCCATCTCATTTTTATCGGTTGTTTCTTCCTGCAACTCTTATGGAAGATACTTAGCAAATTATGCAGAATGAGATCCAGGACCAATGTTGAAGAGATGCAAAATTGCACTACTGATCAGAACAATCTTAATTGTATACGCTTGAGTTTCTCATACCAAGCTGCCAAAGTTTGTTGCTTACTGTTACCGGTCACCAACTTGTTTGGACTTGTTTTCTTGCTGCTAAAAGGAAGTCAAGGCAACTGCAAGTACATTACGTCAGTTCTAGCCGAGACAACACAATTGATATCCTGGATAATTTTGCTTGTTATCACACTGAATCTCCCACGAACTCGATCTGAAAAACTTTCTTGGGTTATAAGAACATGGTTGATAAGCAGCACCCTGCAGTCAGCTACCTTTACTGTTATCGACATACAGTCCATTCTTCAAGAGAAGTCATTCTTAAGAATAGAACAATATACCGATATAATTAGTCTCTTTCCCTGCATATTACTGTTTGTCATTGCAGTCAGAGGCACAACAGGGATCAGCAGCGACTCTGGCAGTCTCAGGGAACCACTATTGCAAGTGCAAACATCAAAGGCGAAGCATGTTGAAAGCCAGAGGAGCTCTTTGTATGGAAGTGCAAATCTTTTACAACTTATGACTTTCTCATGGCTTAATCCGCTATTTGCTACTGGGAGAAGGAAGCCTCTGGAGCAGAATGAAGTACCAGATGTTGATAAAAACAGTTCTGCTGAGTTTGTGTCCCACTCGTTTGATAGCTGCCTGAATAATGTCAAAGAAAGATACGGCTTGAGAACTTCATCTATCTACAGAGCAATCTTTGTATTCATTAGGAAAAAGGCAGCGATCAATGCAAGCTTTGCAGTTGTAGCAGCAGGGGCCTCTTATGTTGGACCTTCATTGATTGTCAACTTTGTTAAGTTCTTAGGAGGAGAGAGGCAGCATGGGTTGAGAAGTGGTTATGTACTTGTACTTACATTCCTAGGTGCCAAAGTTGTGGAGTCTGTGTGCCAGAGACAATGGAATTTTGGAGCCCAACAGCTTGCAATGCGTGTAAGAGCTGCTCTAATATCCCATATATATAAAAAGGGTCTTGAGTTATCAAGTGAGTCTCGGCAGAGCCATACAAGTGGGGAGATTATCAACTACATAAGTGTGGATATCCAAAGGATCACAGACCTCATGTGGCATTCAAATATCATATGGATGCTTCCAGTTCAGATTTCACTAGCAATATATGTTCTTCATAAGAATCTGGGAGTGGGATCTTTTGCTGGATTAGCAGCAACAACAATGGTAATGGCATGCAATATTCCTATAACAAGAGCACAAAAAAGATTCCAGAGCAGCATCATGAAAGCTAAAGATGAACGAATGAAAGCAACCGCAGAAGTCCTCCGAAACATGAAAATTTTGAAACTACAAGCTTGGGACATACAATACCTTCACAAGTTAGAAGCCTTGAGAAACACAGAGTACAACTGGCTGTGGAGGTCTGAAAGAGTACAACTAATTTCATCTTTCATATTCTGGGGAGCACCTATGTTCATATCAGCGGCAACATTTGGAACATGCATACTAATAGGAATTCCTCTGACAACAGGAAGAGTTTTGTCTGCATTGGCAACATTCAGAATGCTGCAAGAGCCAATCTTTACCATCCCTGATTTGCTTTCAGTACTTGCACAAGGAAAAGTTTCAGCTGACAGAATAGCAAAGTACCTCCAAGAAGATGAAATGAAATCTGATGTGGTTGAAATTGTTCCAAGAACAGAAACAGAGATTGATGTTGAGATCGATCATGGAATATTTTGCTGGAAGAAAGACTCCGTATACCCCACACTTGAAAATATTCAGTTGAAGGTGCATAGGGGAATGAAGGTGGCTATTTGTGGTACTGTTGGTTCAGGAAAGTCTAGTTTACTGTCTTGCATCCTTGGAGAACTACCAAAGATGGGAGGAAAGGTGAAAATTAGTGGCAGCAAAGCATATGTTTCTCAATCCCCATGGATAATATCAGGAAATGTTAGAGAAAATATTATCTTTGGAAATCCTTTTGACAGCGAAAAGTATGAAAAGACAGTTGAGGTTTGTGCACTGAAAAAGGATTTTGAGCTCTTCCCTAATGGGGACCTGACAGAGATTGGAGAGAGGGGTATAAATATGAGTGGAGGACAGAAGCAGAGGATCCAAATAGCTAGAGCAGTCTACCAGGATGCCGACATATACCTTCTTGATGACCCTTTCAGTGCTTTGGATGCTCATACCGGCACTCAACTATTCAAGGTTATATTACAGAAATATGCTTTAAACAAATGATCCCCCCCTCTCTTCCCTCTCAAATGTATAACATAGTAAAAGACTAGAATTGAGAGAGAAAACCATACAGCACGATTTACATCCAAAATTCCTTGTCTTCTCTAATATGTTCCAAAGTAAATATTTTTTAAATGAATCTGAGGACCAAATGTTTGAGATACCTAGTAATTATCACTTTCAATTTTCTCGTTGTGGAAAAACCCCTTCATATGTTGACAAATGCTTTATTCTTATTCTGCAGGATTGTCTAATGGGTACTCTTAGAGACAAAACCATACTTTATGTTACACATCAAGTTGAATTTCTTCCAGTAGCAGACCTTATCCTGGTAAAGAAAAACTGCTGAAATTCCTTTTTCCCAAATGATTATGCTGCAAGAATTATAGTTCTTCCCATTGCATCTAATAAAACAAAACCAATTAACATATTATCAACTAGAAGCACTCATCAGGACAACATTGTGGCATCCCCATAAAACTAACATACTCATGTTTCCTACTTAATTTGTCATGTAGTCAAGTAGAATGATTAAGACCAGCTAATAGCAATTGATATAACAGGTGATGCAGAATGGAAAAATTGATCAGGCTGGAGCTTTTGATGAGCTTCTAAGGCAAAACACAGGATTTGAGGTGTTAGTTGGAGCTCATAGTGACGCTCTTGAATTAATACTCAATACAGAAGCCTCAAGCAAATTGCCGCGTGATGCAGAGATAAATTTACTACAGGCATCAAGCAGTCATAATTCCATTGAAGAGAAAAAATCAAGTAGTTCATTTCAAATCATTGATAACCAAGAGTCTAAACATGATCTTTGTCAAGATATGGATAATAGAGGGAGGCTAATAAAAGATGAGGAGAGAGAGAAAGGAAGTGTTTCCAAAGATGTTTATTGGGCATACCTGACTGCGGTGCAAGGAGGAGCCATGGTTCCCATAATAGTCTTAGCACATACAATTTTCCAGATATTGCAAGTAGCAAGCAACTATTGGATGGCATGGGCTTCCCCTTCATCTGCAACCACAGAATCTGCAGTGGGGCTCAAGTTTCTCTTTCTGGTGTATGTGCTTCTTTCAGTTGGATGTTCACTGTGTTCGTTGATCCGAGCAACAATACTTATAAAAGTTGGCCTTTTGACATCTCAAAAATTTTTCCAAAAGATGCTCCACTCTGTTCTCCGTGCTCCAATGTCCTTCTTTGATTCAACGCCTTCTGGGAGGATCTTAAACAGGGTTAGTACTTAGTTTAATCTCTCATTCATGTAGCTCCTGCATCATATATATTCATAGAACATTGTGCTTAAGATGACTAATTGATTATTTGTAAATTTCATGTAGGCCTCGACAGATCAAAGTGTGCTTGACTTAGAATTAGCAGCAAGGTTGGCGTGGTGTGCATTTTCAGTTATACAGATCCTAGGGACCATTGCAGTTATGTCACAGGTTGCTTGGCCAACTTTTGCAATACTCATTCCAGTATCAGCAATCTGTATATGGTATCAAGTAAGAGCACTCTCTCACTCAAAAGAAAAAAAAACAAACATCAAGATTCATTATCACAATCAGATATTGGTCCCACCAGAAATGCTAGAATTTTAAAAGGAATAATTTGACCAGTTATTAATATTATTTTTTAAAATTTAGTTTGCCATGATTTTGTCTGCCATTATATATGACATGCAATAAGCAAAAGTAGATCTGTGTACAGGTGTACAGAAATCAACTTAACCATAGTTAGATATTCAGGTATAATGGTTGACTAAATCATTTTGGTGATTTGAAGATTGAATTCTTGACAATGGCTGATGCAGCAATACTACATACCGACCGCAAGAGAATTGGCTCGGTTGTCAGAAATTCAAAGATCTCCAATCCTTCATCATTTTGCAGAATCATTCTCTGGTGCTACAACTATTAGAGCATTCGGGCAGAAGGACCGTTTCAGCAATACAAACCTTGATCTCATAGATAATTACTCAAGGCCATGGTTTCACGATTTTTCTGCAGTAGAATGGTTCTCATTCAGGCTGGATTTGTTATCCAACTTTGTGTTTGCTTTCTCACTGATTTTGCTTGTGAACCTGCCAGAAGGATTTTTCAGTCCAAGTGAGCATATTAACATATATATTCAAGTGAAAAGTTCATTTACCTAAACTTTGATAGTACTTGTCAGCTTGTCATAAAAGTTGGTTAATCTAAATAGAATTTCATTTGTATGTTATACAGGCATTGCAGGGCTTGCAGTGACCTATGGATTAAATCTCAATTCACAACTTGCGACTATCATCTGGTTTATATGCAACATAGAAACTACAATGATCTCAGTTGAGAGAATACTACAATACTCAAGGATTCCAAGTGAAGCTCCTGTACTTATTGAAGGTTGTCGACCACCAACCAATTGGCCACAAGTTGGTACTATATGCTTCAAGAATTTGGAGGTGATCTCAAATTCCGATATTACATCCATATTTATGCATAATCAAGAGAAATTCATAGACACACGTAGTCATTTGGAAATTCTGTCAATGCAGTGAAAATTTGTCCCCATGGAATAATAGTGTAAAAGTAACATAAGGTAAAATAGTATGTAGAAACACACAAACAGATATTTTCACCCAAAGTCCAGTCAGCCTCTTTTTGTTATCGACACTGGGAGAAGGTGATGGTGTTATTTTTTTCCAAGATACTGTGGGGACAAGTAATCCATTCCATAATAGAAGTTGATTCTTAGACAAAACATCAAGCATTATGACTCCATGTTCGTTTATTCTATGTTCTGGTTCTTGTCTACATAATTGCCACAGTAACTAATTACAAGCTTTACAAGCCAAGTAGAGAGCTAGGCACTTCTATATAGATTGCAAAAAATAACAAGCATAGTTGAAAACAATTTAGAAGAATGATTATTAGATCTTATCATCCAGTAAACAATAGTTTTTGCATCAAACAATAATAATGCGATATATGATATAGCATATTGAGGAAATTAAATAATATAGATTAGAAAAGAGATGAGCTGAAAAACAGTTCAAGTTATCTTCATATGACTTGTAAACTTGTATGCTGAAAACTTGCAACTTTCTAAACATAGAAATTGTTACAAATTATGATATCATTTCCATGACAAAACAATTAAAATTTCCCAAAGCTTAATGGACTAGTGCATGGTTTGTATCGTAGATCTTTACAAATATAAATTAATTTCCACATGGATGAAAGCCTTCACTTCAGTAACCATGGGTTAGGTACAATCCATCATTAGACCCACCGTATCAAGTCTTACGCCCTGTGGTTCTAGTAGATTGATTCTCAGCTGCAAGGAGCTCGATAATTCTACATATATCACCCAATATCCTAATTAAAAAATTAATATTTTTAGTTATTTTATCCTTGGGGTGTAAGGTTTAACGTTGAACAATAAAGAAATAGAACATGCAAAGGTTTGTATTACTGAAATGAGAATGTTGAGGTGGTTGTGTGGAGTGAATAGAAAAGATAGTAAAAGAAATTTCATTTGTCAATAAGTATAGCATCGATAGAGGATAAATTGAGGAAGAATCATTTAAAATTATATGAATATATCCTAAGGAGAACTAAAAGATTCATATATTTGACCTCAAATAGTTAGGACTTCAGACATTCCAATCTTTTATGTTCTTATTCTTGTTCTTGTAGTAGTAGTTAGTTTATCCTTAATTGCTTTACAATACTGATGATTATTGTTGGATTCTTTTTAATAGCCATACTTCTCTTTCATAGCTAGGCAGTATCAATGTGGATAAAGCCAACAAACATAAATCAACCTAGATCTCAAGTTTTAGGCTATTATTTACTATAATCCCATCTGCATTTTCTGCTTCAGGTAACAGTTGCAACTGTTTGGCAGATGAGTGCCACTACAAAATACTAAGAGAATCTCTACCCTTTTAATAGTAAACTTAGATTAATCAAATATAAAAAAAATTTATATTTCTAGTTTAAAAACTTTGTTTATATTGAGAATTAGATACAGAGATCCCAAAGCCCAAGATATGTAGATATTCGTATGGTTATACAAAAGAATTTTGTGCTCAATTTTAATAAGTAATCATTCATTTTTTTCTATTTATTTTTTATTTTTCTTTTCTCTACAGGTTAGATATGTTGTTTTCTAAAAACTTATGGTTTGTTGCTATTGTTGTTGATACAGGTCAGATATGCTGAACATCTGCCATCTGTCTTGAAAAATATAACGTGCACAGTTCCAGGAAGAAAACAAGTTGGTATTGTAGGACGAACTGGCAGCGGCAAATCGACTTTGATACAGGCTCTTTTCCGTATTGTTGAACCACGAGAAGGAACCATTCAAATTGATGATGTTGATATCTGCAAGATAGGTCTCCATGACTTGCGTTCCAAACTAAGCATCATACCACAAGACCCAATATTGTTTGAGGGAACAGTGAGGGGAAACCTTGATCCATTGGAGGAATACTCAGATAGCAGGATATGGGAGGCAAGTTGTTTCTTCAAACCCAAAATTTTCATAATATAGAGAATCCAAGTATGTCACTACAGCTATGGTATTGAGCATGATTTTGGATGAGGCAGAAATTATCAAGTAATGAAATAATGCTGGATCCTTGAAGAATAGAACTGTCACAAGGGAACATAAAAACTATAAGTTGACCAAATAATGTAGACGGCAAAGTAAAGACACGGATAACCATGCATAATTTGAGTTTATTCTAATCTATAGTTTTCAGTTCATATTAAACAAGAGATCTTCAACTCAGATGCTTCAATTTCCAAACAGAAGATGTTTCTTGAACTCAGTGTTGTATATTAAAATATCTTCAAGAAACTAAATACCAAATCTTATTTAAATGTATCCTAACTAGAAGATTGACAGATGCTTTATGATTGTTTAGGTACTAGACAAGTGTCAGCTTGGTGATCTGATGCGACAAGATAGCAAGAAGCTGGATTCAACAGGTAAAACATACCAAGGAGATTATGATCATTTGATAACAAACTTACAGTTCATTACTACTTAAATCATAAGCTCGGTTTAGAGTTACCAGTCTAATAATTTATGAGAGGCTTTCTACAGTTACTGAAAATGGAGAAAACTGGAGTGTTGGACAGAGGCAACTATTCTGTCTAGGAAGAGCACTGTTGAAGAGAAGTAACATTCTTGTTCTGGACGAAGCAACAGCCTCAATTGATTCTGCTACAGATGCAATAATCCAAGCAACAATATGTCACGAATTCAGAGACTGCACAATACTCATCATAGCTCACAGGATTCACACGGTTATAGATAGCGATCTCATTCTTGTTCTTAGTGAAGGTAATCAAGGTTATAATCCACTGAAGATAAATATAATTTGCAGATATTTTGTGCATGATTTAACTTGTACACTTTCTTGTTCTTAAGCAGGAAGCATTGTTGAGTATGACAAACCATCCAAGTTACTGGAACGAGAAGATTCATCATTTGCTAAGCTTATAAAGGAATATTCAACGAGATCACAGAGCATTCACAATCCAACACATACTGCAACTAAGACATCATAAATTTTGGATTTTCATATATTTAGAATGATAGATACAGCCTCCAACAGAATGACATATGGTATGTTGCGCTAAATTCAATGGCAGGTGTTTGATTTCTCCAGCAAAGACTGAGTATGTCATAATGAGAAAAATCTACTCGGCAACATTCTTCTAAGCTATGCAAACTGGTGCATGGGAAATGTAACACTGGCAAAGATCCAACATTTAAGAACTACATTGTAACTTGATATACATTTGGCGGAATATTATTTACCCAACTAGAATTGCTCAATGCAACTTTCTCAAAGTCACAATGCTTCACATGATCAAGCTAAGATTACAGTAGGTGAGCTTCTCACTATCTTGAGATGTTTGGTTATCTAATAGTGACAAATCAAAAGTTTGCTTTGACAACAACTTTCAAGTTCTCATTGTTGGATCTCCATGTCTTATTCCATTGATCAAAATGTGATAGTTTAAGAATAATAGAGTGGGTGATTTTTCACCTAAAGAGTTACCTGGGTACCACATCTGCAAGGATTTGAACCCATTGATTCAAGATGAAAAGCGAAAGAAACCGCCAGCCTAAGGCCTGCTTCTTGTTGATCAGATGCACAACATTTTTTATCTTACCATATCACCTAGATCAATTTTAACGTCAACTTGATAAGCACCCACTATATCTTAACCCAAGACCTATTTGATCAAAACAGATCACAGAAATATGGCAACGCATGATACGCATGAAAGCAAAAGCAAATCGTTTAGTCACCATCCTGCTCGTCTCAGTTCTAGACCTTGTTGGCTGTCCTCATTTTATCCAACAAGAAGGAAAGATTTTAAATTTTTATAGACAATTTTACCTCAAAAACAGGAGGTCTCATATGCCCTTCCAAGATTCAATAAACGTCAAATTCATAAAAACTCCCCTCATGGAAAAGTAATCAAATCAAATAATGATTGATATGAAAAGGATGATAATTACCTGGGTGAACTACTTGGGCGTCTCCTCCACAAGGACCCCAGCCCATGACCTATTCAAGATATCAAGAACGATTCATCAAGAAATAGTGAGCCAAGATTTCAACTCCAAGGATCTATTTTACAGTGCTGCGATCCGTGCGCGAAATCAACAAAAAGAGAAAGGCAAAAAGAAGGAAGATAATCTTACCACAAACATATGATCCTGAACGCGCGATGCTTCTCTTTCCAGGGCACGTAGGAAGTACACTTGCGATGCATTCTACAGCACTTCTCGTGTAGAAAAATTAGGCGATGGAGCATTAATCGTGGGTCACGGCGAAGATTGTGGGTCGGCGCACCACCGTCACGACGACGCAAAGGTGGAAGCTGCTTTGAGACGGTCGAGAAAACGTATGGTGAAACATTTCCAAATACATATTCGAGAAAAGTGGTCGGACGCCTTTAGGTGTCCTTCAAGAGCTTCGGAAGGCACGTGTCTCCAAAGCGATGATTACGTCGGGTTTCCGAGATTTTTACTGGGAGACACCTCGTTAATCTCATCGAGCATTGGGCCAGATCACCGTCCATTGCATCCGAGGTTTCTCAGCTCGCCACGTGGTAACAAGGCGTCGATTTATTTATGGATGCAAGGTGTGCTCCCGACGGTAATGTCAGGATCCTCTTCAGCGATTGCACGGATCCAGTTGCAATGGGATCTCTGGCGATCTAAATTTCTGATGGGCTCCACCGGATGAACGGTCAAGATGCAATACGTCGAAGCTTCCGAAGTGAAGTCACATAATAAAGATAATTATATGAAACATATTAATCAAAAACTTAAATTTGGTTATATTTAAATGAAGAAAATATTTTCTTTTTAGGTTTTTCTTGAATGATAGATACCCTTTTCAAAATTTTTTAACCATCGTCTCCTATTTCAAAAATCCTAAAAAAATACCCCTTTAGAGTGTTTTTCCAACCTAAATCCAAAAAATTTTCCTGCCAAATCTTTATGACTTTTTAAAAATACTATATAATGTTTTTATTTCAAAAACACTATGACATCAAAAAATACTATATAGTATTTTTAAAACAAAAAAATATATACAGTATTTTATGGATAAAAATAAACCCATAAAATACCGTAAATAGTTGAGGAGAAAAAAAATTGAATTTGGACAAAAAAAAAATGATAGCTTTTTAGGGGCATTTTTGAAAATTTAAAAATAGGGGGTGATGGTTTGAAAATTTTGAAAGGGAAGGTACCATATGAAAAGAATAAAAAATATATATATTTTCTTGGACAATCATCCTATTTAAATGCTTAAAATCTTATGATGTAAACATAATATTTTTCAAGAAAAAAATGTTAGTACAAGTAAGTGATAATATTTATTTATTGTTGATAGGAAAAATATTCACATCAATAAGAACTCATAATATTTTTTAGATAATGTTAGTGAACTAATGTGTCGTGGCTGATGAGTCAACACGGCCTGGTCCACGGGTCGATGTCGGGAGTCTTCGGTCAACTGAGCTAGATGCCGAGGTCGGTCGGGCCCTCGCGACGGGGTGTTGATCAGCGTCTTTTGGTCCGGGCGTCGTTAATGACTCATCGTGGGGACGCTCGCAGTTTGAGGGTGGCCACTTTCCTGCAAGAATGGCCTTCGTCGGGTGATTCCCGACTTTGCCCCTCCGATGAGCAAGTTAGTAGTTGTTTTTCTCTTTTTTGTCCTCTCTCCTAGTCGAATGTTGGCCAAAGGCTTTTCTAATACTGTACGAGGGTTAGTCGTATGCGGGTTTGGCGTGGCGATCGATCCTCGAGGGGTGAGACGGTACCTTTGTGCAGCCGTCATCCCGAGATGCGTGGAACAACGCCAGACGGTGCCGTCCTGAGCTTCCGGGATGGGACATACTAAACAACGCCTTGGTACAGATTTTGACTTGGCACGTGGGGGTGCTCCCCTTGCTGACTCGGCAGTAGCGCGGCGTGGCATTGATTGTGACGTGTCTTGGACCCAAAATATACCTTATCACTTCCTCCCCTCCACCCCCCCTCCCCCATCGAGGCATTCCATGGGGTCCTTGCGAGGGGGCGAGAGGCATGCCCTGGTCGGAGTGCTGCGGAGGTATTAGTTGCTTATGAGGGAAATTAGATTGGCTCGTCACGAGGCAGTTTGGAAGGGTGGCGCCTCGTGCCTCGGAAAGGGTTGGCTCCGTTGGTTGGGCGGCTAGGACCAAGTGAGGTGAGACCGACGAGTCGTTAGTCGGATAACCGGTTTGGCATGGCTTGGAGTTAGGGCCGACGAGTTGTAAGTCAGAGATCGAGATAGAGCGACTTGGTAGGAAATTGGCGAATCGCAAGTCGGGGATCGAGTTGGAGCGACTTGGTTGGAGATTTGACGAGTCGCAAGTTGGGGATCGAGCTGGAGTGACTCGATTAGAGATTTGGCGAGTCGCAAGTCGGGGATCGCGCTGGGGCGACTCAGTTAGAGATTTGGCGAGTCGTAAGTCGGGGATCGAGCTGGAACGACTTGGTTAGAGATTTGGCAAGTCGCAAGTCGAGGATCGAGCTGGAGCGACTCGGTTAGAGATTTAGGGAGTCACAAGTCGATGATCGAGCTGAAGCGATCGGTTAGAGATTTGGTGAGTCACAAGTCGAGGATCGAGTTGGAATGACTTGGTTAGAGATTTAGCGAGTCGCAAGTCGGGGATCAAGCTGGAGCGACTCGGTTAAAGACTGGGCCTATGGGCCAAGTGATTGATCTCGGGCTCAGGTTTTGGTGCCAGCGGGTTGCAAGTCGGGAATCGATCTGGAGCTACTCGGGCAGTGGCTGGACCTGTGGGCCAAGTGACTAATCTCAAACTCAGGTTTTGGTGCCCATGGGTTGTAAGTCGAGAACCAATCTGGAGCGACCTGGGCAGTGGCTGGACCTGTGGGCCGAGTGACTGATCTCAGACTTAGGTATTGGTGCCGGCGGGTTGCAAGTAAGGAACCGATCTGGAGCGACCCGGGCAGTGGCTGGACTTGTGGGCCGAGTGACTGATCTCAGACTCAGGTTTTGGTGCCAGTGGATTGCAAGTTTGGAACCAATTTGGAGTGACCTGGGTAGTGGCTGGACATATGGGCCGAGTGACTGATCTCGGACTCAGGTTTTGGTGCCGACGGGTCACAAGTCGGGAATCGATCTGGAGTGACCTGGGTAGTGGCTGGACTTGTGGGCCGAGTGACTGATCTCAGACTCAGGTTTTGGTGCTGACAGGTCACAAGTTGGGAATCAATCTGGAGCGACCCAGGCAGTAGCTGGACCTGTGGGCCGAGTGACTGATCTCAGACTTAGGTTTTGGTGCCGGCGAGTCACAAGTCGGGAACCAATCTGGAGCGACCCAAGCAATGGGTGGACCTGTGGGCCAAGTAACTGATCTCGAACTCAGGTTTTGGTACCATCGGGTCACAAGTTGGAAACCGATCTTGAGTGACCCAGGTAGTGGCTGGACCTATGGGTCGAGTGATTGATCTTGGACTCAGGTTTTGGTGTCGGCGGGTCGCAAGTCGAGAACCGATCTGGAGCGACCCGGGTAATGGCTGGACTTGTGGGCCGAGTGACTAATCTCGGACTCAGGTTTTGGTGCCGACGCGTCACAAGTCGGGAACCGATCTAGAGCGACCTGGGCAGTGGCTGGACCTATGGGTCGAGTAACTGATCTCGGACTCAGGTATTGGTGTCGTTGGGTCATAAGTCGGGAACCGATCTTGAGCGACTCGGGCAGTGGCTAGACCTATGGGCCGAGTGACTGACCTCAAACTCAGGTTTTGGTGCTAGCGGGTCATAAGTCGGGAATCGATCTGGAGCGACCCAAGTAGTGGCTGGACCGGTGGGCCCAGGAGGGAGGTTGGGGGCGTCGTTGGGCGACGCACCAAATTTTGCCCGGGTGCCATGGTGCCATGTGGCGGGTCGGGTGGAGCGGCATGGGGCCTGGTGGGAAACTTCTTGTTTCAAATGGCTTCTGGCAAGAGATTTCGGGTGATGAGGCACCTCTGGTGGGAGTCCCAAGGGTGGCGAATCTGGCGAATCTGAGGGGTCATGATGGGTTTTGAATGTTGTAACCATCTCTCTTCTCGGGATCCCAAACCGGTGATAATGTTCTTCTATGTGAAGCTTTGGATTTGTTTCTCGATGATGGAGGCCAAGGGTTCGACTTCAACCCACTTCATGAAGTAGTCGACCCCCACTATAAGGAAGCGTCGTTGTCCCGAAGCTGGAGGAAAAGGTCTAAGGAGGTCAAGTCCCCACTGGGCGAAAGGCTAGGTTGCCTCCATCGGGGTAAGTGGGACTGCTGGTTGGTGTCACAGTCGGGCGTGCCTTTGACATTGTTGGCACCGCTACA